TAGACGTGAGAAAGCGGTGAAGGAAAGAAGGTGTAAAATGCTGAGTGAAAGGTGAAATAAAATGATTTCTGTCATGTTTTTGCCTTTGCTCTGCATAAACTATTAATGTTTTTTAGTGTTTTTCTTCGTAATAATTGATTTCTTTCTAAAAACTTTTTACCTCCCCTTTTTATTTCGTCTTTTAGAACTTATTAGGCTGGTCATATTTACCTAAGTAGCGTTTCAAGCAAAGTACAAACTTAAACAAAAAAAATTTAAAGCCTAGCTTTATCCCACTTTAGAAGTTAGATAGTAAAGTCTAGACTGACGTGAAACGTATCGCTGTGAATCTGTATTAACGAGCATTCTGAATTAAGTGTCATTAACTGATAAAAATAACATCATTCACTGGTCAGCAACGCTTGTGTAAAACTGAGAATATTTAATTTTTAATGTTTTACCGGTCCTTTCTTAATCGTTACTTAAAGTTAATTATAAGCTGCTGCCAAGCGCCTGTTCCATTAGAATACTACGTATAATTTCAATGTAGCAGATGGCAAAAGATTTAAGCATTGGTCAGTCAAGAAACGTGTTAATTCTAATAAAAAATGGATTGATACATTTCAATGTATATCGTTTTTGTACGAGTGGTATGTGCTAAATTCTAAAACGGCTGTTTTTGGTTTTTTTTAAATTATTCCTTTCAGAAATACGCTTTCTTCTTGAATAAAGCAGCTTTTGAACTGTCACCTTGCTAATTGCAACTGCTTACTACAAAGTCAAGTTTGCTTCCTGAGCTAAACTGCAGTTTCACAAATCTGACAGGTGAAAACACTGTTGTTTCAAGAACAAGAGGAGAAAAAACTCTTTCTCCGTGGCATGTCAATTTTTTTAAACTAGAAGAGTAGTGCTGAAAATTCCGCCAGTCAACTTTTTTGAGTTTGTTGGGTGAACAGTCAGAGCACGTTTGGAAGTTGCCCAGAAATACAGATTTGTTGACCAGTGATCTTGAGAAAAAGCTGCAAGAACCAAAAGGTGGCGAATAGGCAGTGAAAGCCCTAAAAGTCAGAATAATTCAAGGTTTGAGATAACTTTCAGAAGTTGCTGAGTATTTTTTGGTTTGATAATATTGAGGAAAGTAACTATAGAAGTGATCGTTAATATACGGGAAAAAGAGAAAAAGAATTTGGTAGAAAAATGATTTCAAATTTCTTTCTCCTATACGAGGTGAAGATCTAAAAAGCTTAAAAAATTGGTATAGACAATGATATTAATGGAATTTACATCGGCTTTATCAAGTAGGTTCACAAGCACTGCACCGCTTTACGATTATGGGTCTTCTGATGAATTCACCTTGTACTTCTTTTTTTGACAGCTCTGAGCACAGACCACTTCACTGCTATTTTTGTTGGTATCAAATACAGGAACATGAAATTTGCTCAATGAACTTGGAACTTTGCACTTTCCCAATTTCTTGAATTGAGTTTATATCAACCTCAATATATCATACTCAACTTCACAGCTTTCTTTCTTGTTATTTACGAAAAACTGCATTACTCTCAGGTTTAACAGTTTAGTGAAAAAAAATCATGAGCGTCTAATAACATTTTCTGCAGCAAACAAAAAACTTTAGTATTTTCAACAGTCTTTAATTTTTTGAGATTATAACTGAGAAGGAAAAAAAGAGGAAAATTATAGTTTTTTTACTTGGTTTTATTGGCTTTAAAGACATGAAGTCACCATGCAGAAAAATAAGTTTTGTGTCATCAGATGCAGATAATGTCATGCTCTCAGCATACTTGCATGTTTGATGAATTTTGCACTATGCGATTTTTTTGATAACAGTCTTTAATAATTTGAAACTGCAATACTGGCAATGCTTGTTGAAAAGATTACTTAGCGTCACTTATGAACATCTCTCAAGAAGGGTTTGTGCGTTTGGATGTCTACTGAGATATCTTCGGTATTAATAAGTTTACTTATGGCTCTTAGAGCTTTTATAATCCTTTTGTTTGATGAGTTTACTTATTCCAGTTCTCCACTTTAAAGAAGCATTTTATGGGCTGATTTTGTACTAAAAACGATACTATGCATATGAACCATTACGCTGAAGTGTTCTTATTCACTGGGCAGCAAATGCTGAAAAAAAAAAACAATTGCTAAAAGGCAAGAGATAGTAAAACTAAGCAAATAGTAAACGAACCTGCGTTTTGAGTTGCATACACCAAGTTTATATTGTGATAAATCGAAGTTTCAAGTCCCATCTTTATAACTTGTCAAATGTGAAAAATTATTGTTTTAAAGTAGTTCTCAAATCTTTCTTACATCTCTATTTTGGCGTTTTATGGTGTTAACTGTAAGCGACTAGTTCCATAGCTCTATTTCTTTTTGTTAGTTCATCTATAGCAACTTAGAAAGCCATTTAATTCAAAAGTCTAGTGGAAAGTATTTTTGGCTTTTGGATGTTGAAAAAAAATATCTAGCCTTAAGTAATGATTTGTCTAATCGTTATCTATTAAGGTAGCAGGAGATACGGCAGTTCATGTATATCTTCAAGATAGTTATTTGGAGGGGAATCTTGTGTATTATTATGGCAGTAGTAAGGAATCAATGTAAGTTTTTCTACTGATCTTTTTCTCTAGAATATCTGGCTATTAAGGGTAGGAAAATTTTCTATTAAAAATAGCTGACAAGTAAGGGAAGTTTTTGTTGAATGGATGGTTCAATCGTTAATACATCAATTTAATTACTAGTGCATTAACAAAAAATTTATAAATAATGAAGCGGATAAGACAGAGATCTAACATTAAGAACAACTATATAGAAGATGTGCTAAATATTCAGATAGAAAATTACACTTTTAGAGTTAAGGTAATAAATAAACTGTTGATTGAAACACAGAAAAAGATTTTCTTTTTAACCCATTTTCTTTTGGCATATAGAGCCTATTTGGCATCAGCTATATACGGTAAAATAGGTGCTCTTCTATAGATTTTTTAGGCAAAAGAATTGTTCAGTTATTTCACAGAGTGGGATAACTACTTTATCAAATAAAGTTTTAGACCTTTTACCAGACATTAGAAGTACCAGCAAAAAAAATTTTTATATTACGGTTTGTTATTTTAGATGATATTGGTAGAGACAGTAGTCTGAAATTTTAACTACATCTAATAAAATTGTCTAGTTGTAAAGAAAATAAATTTAGAAGTTAATCTCGTCTTGATCTGTGAGTAACCACCAAAAATTTAAAAAAGAAAAAAAACAAAAAAAATTGCAATTTTACTTTTTTTTGATTAGTATTCTTTTGCAGTCTCAGCAAAATAAAACAATTTAAAGGACAACCGATATATTTTCAGTTAAAACGTAACAAATTTTTCTTATTCAAAGGTTCTAAAAGTTTTAGCAAAGTAAAAAATCGTTTCGAAAAAGTGGCAAAAAAAAGCTGTTTTGTGGATATTAAACGAAAACAAGTCGCATAAATTTTAAATAAATAAGAGTAGCATACTTTGTCATAAGATTTTAATCGACAACCTTTTTTATCTACAAAACTTTGAATTTAACTTTCTCAGGAAAAATTATTCCCATTAACGAAACTTGGGTTATATTGTGCAAGCGAGCTATAGATTAGCTTAAGATTAGCTTTCTAATTTTCGACAAAAGCGTAATATATATTGCATAAAGCTTTTAGTATTAAACCAAGTGGATAGGGTAATAAGTATATGGTGCAACAATAATGCGTTTCACAGAGCTTTACAAAAAGATGACAATTTTAGTACAAATTTTCTCTATTTGCCTTGAAATTACTCATTCTGAAAAAATAAGAAAAAAAGTTAAAAAATTTGAAGATAGTTAACTTTCAAAGTTGTTATGAAGTTTATATGAGATCAGAGAATGTTGAGGACTATTTGTTTTGGGCAAACATCTCTGTAACCTAAAAATTGAAGTCGACTACTTGAAACCTTAAAAAAAAAAAAAACAGTACTTTGGTAACTTATGAGGTGCAGAAAACTTGGATGAAAGTGACTAAGGGACAAATAATGTGTGAAAAATACCGCAACTAAAATTTCTCACCAACAAAGTAATTTGTGAAAAGGACTATAAAAAAGTTAACATAAATAGGATTAACTTCATTATACCTCAAAGTTTTTGTAACTTTTGTAACCTATATTTGTGACGTTTATATACCTTTTTAGCTAACAAATGTGCAACACTTAATATGCTCAAAAATTTTGCGTTGTTTCCTCAGGAGGAACAAATACAAAGGAAAAAATGCAGAAAACTTTCTCTAATTCACTGACAACTTTTAGTACCCATACTTTTTTAGTAGAATATCCCTCAAAATTTGACCAGCCGTGAAATTAATAGATAAATTATCGAGCGTAAAAAATTTTTTTTTTCTATGCGCGAATTGGTCGGTGGTTTAATTTTTGATAATGTGATCGGCTTGTAATTTTGGTTGAAATTTTTTACTTAACAATATTTATCCTTCAGTGAAGAAAGAAAGAACTATTTTCAGAACTTGACAGTTTTTTTTCGCTTTTGAATTAAACTGCCGTTGTTGATTTTGACTTGTAAGTTTTGTTCTTTGTGTCGTTATTGTCTAAAAAAGTCGACTAGTTATAAATAAAAATTAAAGACCAGCGAAGAGATATAACAAAAGTAATTGCTTTCCACGGCATATTTGATCCTCTCTTGTACGACTGTTCCTTTAAATTTTTATAATAAGTATTTTTTTAAGACAAACTTTTTATTTTTAGATGAGTAGAACAAATGTTTGTTAGATCAGTGACATACTGAAAAGAAATGAAGGCTGTATGAACATTTAGAAAAAATTGTTTTTGAAAGGTTCAAATTATTTTTGATATTTTAATCAAGAAAATATTCAACGGAAAACAAAAATATGGATTGTTCAGCACAGATGTGGATTCATCCATTGATCTACACACATTTAAGTCATTTGTGTTTCGAAGTCCCTCCAATTTAACCATATCCTATACCTCATATGCTGAAAATTCATCGCGATGGACGCAAGTAAACCCACATATTATCATCTCAAGTAGTCTCTTAAATATAATAGTAAAAAATTTCATGTTTACTTTTTATAATCTTTCAATTTCAGTGTAAATTCAAAACTTTAGTTTTCTGAAATACTACAGTTGTATGTTATAGATATTGGAGATACTAAGTGTCCAGGTGCAAATAATGGTACACCGGTTGCTATTGATGGCGCAATTCTTCTGTTTCCCGACTACTATCAAGAAGTGTAATCCCTTCTCATCCTTTGAACCAAATAGCTGCAAAAATCCTTTTAGTATTAAAACTCCAATTAAAAAAATCTTTCGTCTTTAATTTTTTGCAGAATTTACCAGAAATAATTAGCTTAATGAAAAACAAACTGGCATAAGTAATCAAGGTTGAGGCAGTTAATTTGTCTATAAAAAGTACTTTATTATGCCAATTCAGTAAATTTAACAATTTTTTAAAAAGCAAAAGGAAGACGGGTGAAAACTTCGTTACCGACTAAAATAACCTTAAAAACTGACTGATGATTGAAAAAAATGAAAATTTTTTTGGAGTAAGTCCTGCGGGAGTGTTAAGTTTACTGATGAGTGCATATCTTTTTTTAAATGATATTTTGTTACAAATTATTTAGAAAATTTCTGCTACTTTTACAGCAGAACGCGATCATACCCGAAGAGTTGTGAATGGGAATATATGGCTCCAGCAAGCGGCTGGTTAACGGTGCTGAAAGTTTTGGATTTGGTTTTGTCTGGCAATGAAATTTTAACTGTAATTGGAAATATTAATGGTACACAAAGTGACAGAGTCTTTGACAGGTAATTAAAATCCGGATTTCGCACGTTTGTGTTATCGCTGATCGGCAATCAAACCGTTGCTTTGTCATTACAGGTCTTATAAAGAAAAAGCTGGAGTTTATTATTATGACAGTGAACTGTCTATCAAATATACAAGACTAAGTGCCGTAAACAGTAGTGCTCAAGCTTTTCGAATTTTACTGACAACAATGAAACTGGAAAATAAAACGTGCTCGTTAGCTTATAATAACCGTAGTTATAGTGACCTAAACGGATCGTTTACCAACGTGAGAACCAGGCTTCAGTATCCAAAAAATGAAGTAAGAAATTTTTATGTGATTACGTCGGAACAGAGAGGTCATCTGATTGCAATGACTGTTGCAAAATAGATGCCCACTAGTTTTACAGAAAGCGAATAGACTATTTTCTAATATTTTCAGTACTGCACTTGGTCAGTAACTGTGCCAGGTAATGCCACACTGGTATTCTGCTGCGTAGAGTGCAACTACGGACACCTTAGTGGCGACAGGCTTAAAATTTCTGTGGGAGAAATTGAATAGTTAGTAAACACCTATTTTCTTTTTACTAGTACAGTAAAACCAGTTCCTAAACTATGAACAGTGTATATATATATATACACGTATATTCTTCCTTTTTTCTTACTTGAAGTAAAACAAATACGAGAAAAATGCAACGAAAGACTAGATACTGTTAGACAGAGAAATAAATTATATTTTCCTATGTCACTGATCTTTACCTTTGTACATCTTTTTTATTGACAAAATTTTCTTTTTTGTGTAGTTGGCATAAATAACTTGTTTTTTCAATCTACATGTTTGAAAAATTATAGCATTGATGAAACTGAAAAGGGTAACCATTATTGTAGCTCAAGTAATTGGACTGATTATTGTGTTACCATGAATAAAAGTCTCGATGGATACGATGTAAAATTTGAGTGGGAATCTGATGGTTTAGCCGAATATAATGGTTTTCAGCTTGAATACTTTATTAGCAGTAAGTGAGTCAAGGAGACTTGACTAAAATCATCAATCATTTCAAATATCAGTGTAAATTTTCGTAATATTTTCATAACAATTGAGAAAGTCGTGCTTTTCAGTTGGAGATAAAAAGCTTAATGGGCAGTATCGTTGGATGTCGTCATCATCAATTTTATTTAGTTGCTTATTGTTGATATACCGGTATTCCACTTGACTGTCTTTTTTAATGGTTTTTATTTGCATTATTTGCTACCTTTAAAGAAGAAAATTATCTATTGTTGCTTCTGCTGTTTAAATTTTAATAGTCAAAAAAAGAGTTTCTCAGCAATCTTCTCAAACTTATTCATTTGTTTACACACTTCTTTCGATGCATTTGAAAAGCTTAACGATTTAGAACTGGATAAAAAGTTTTCGTCTACTACTTTGAGCAAACAGAGCTTAACGTTGTTCTGTATCAATATCAAGTCCTACTGTCATTTTTTCTTTGCTTGGAATTCTGTGATGCAAAGCTATTATATAAACTAATAATTATCGTTGTCTTAATTGAAGTAGAGGAAGATCAGCGCTTTATACTGCAGCCATAATTTAATGATCGTTTACATGATGACTGCAGTGTTGCAAAATAATTGAGAATGTTGATAAATGATGAAAATCTGGCTAATCAAGTTAGTGACAATAAATTTAAAGAAATTGTAAAAAGTATCCCTAAACAAGAGACTTTGTTAGATTTCAGTGCTCCTGAATCGGTAATTAATTTCTCTTTGCACCTTGTCAACAGCGATATATGTCAGCGCCTTCATCTACAACACTTAATTTCAAAAGGTGGAGAGTATAAAGCTGCAAATTGATTCTAATGTTAATCTCTGTTAACCCTCATTCTTCGTTCATTGGAATAGCGCCTTTGTGTGAATAGTTCCTTAGCGCAGTGACGAATGTAATTAAAGATTATGCGTAATTATCGACAGCACAACTTTACAAATCATGTCAAATAGCAGTTTTGGCAACTTTTTACAGATAAAAAAAAACTGCTGACATTTAATTGAATAGCTGACCACATTTCTCGTACCATACTTTAAACAATATATCAGGGAAAAAGTAGCATAAGGTGACATTTTACTATTTTGGTACACGGTGTGTAAGCAAAAACCACCTTTTCTATTAACAGTAGTCAAGCTTAAAAATGATACTTTTTTTAATGATTACTGGCTGCAAGTAATTTGTTGCAAGAGTATGTTTTAGAATATAAAAACAAGTTCTGATACTAGTTATTTATGGTTTATTATTTTTATCTTCTTGCCAAAAAGTTGTTGAAGAAAAGTTGACTGCTTTAACTGGTAGGTTATCGATTTTGAATCTAAAAAGGTAAAATTATGAATAGATTTCAGATCTACAAAAGTAGAATTATAGATAAACATTGTTTTGTTAAAAGCCAATTAATATTTTGAGTAATTCACCAAAGTTGTCTATCTGGTGACCATATTTTTTTTGCAGAGTGAATTTTGAAGATTTTTTTTGACCAAAATTAATTGTCTGAGACACTAATTGGTAAAAAAAAAAAGGTGCACTGTTTAGCAATAACGTCAATAATCGGCTAAAAAGCATTTATCAATTTGTGATTTGTTTGCAACTCAATCTCCTAAAATTTTTTTATTTTAGTAGACAATTAATTCAGGCGGTAGATTTTACGGTTATATTTGTTGCTTCTTAGTCAGTTGCAGTGTACTATTTGTTTGAGCATAGCTCAGCTGTACTGACAATCAATTCCCATCCTCCCTCAACAACAAAAAAAGCATTTGCTTTTACCAATTGGTGTGATTGATAGACATTATAGCTAGTCGATGTCAGTGACTTACCTGTTTGGTTGAACGTATTATAGAATTCATTTAACGCCCCCATTTGACGCTAACAGAATGCTTTTCTAGAGCATTTCCGAAAAAGTGGCGAACGTGGTGTGGGTATTTCGTTGACATTGTGTTCACCTGGTTCGTTACACAACACAAAATAAACTGAGGTAAAGAAAAAAATGATTATGTAAAGAAAAAATAGAAAAACTTGTTTGCACTTCAGTAATCAGAGGTAAGTTTTATAAGCCACGTGATGAAGAAAAAAAGGAAGATTTGAAGAAGCAAAAGAGTTAAAAAAACGAGATGCCAAAGTCGTATTTGCGCTTAAGGTCGAAACACTTGAAAAAAATTTTTTTCTGTCGACATACATACAACAAAAACTCTTCAAAGTTTTCTATTTCAAGTTCACTTGCATAAGCAAATAAATATGATAGCTTACATATTTAATATATGTGAAATAATTTCTAACTATTAGTGCTTGATTTACTGTTATCTTTGAATTAAATTTGTGGGATAATGTCAATGTACAACTTCTTCTTGCTTTTATTCTTTCCTGTTGTTGCTGTAAATACTGTTTTTGCTGCTGTCATTTTCAAACGATTTACGATTTCACTAACACTTTAATGCTCATTAGAACGAAAAAAAGCCTAAAATCATCAAGAAAAAATTGTTGCTTCTGGATGTTCTGTTGTTTATTAGTGTCAGTTTAACAAAAAAAAAATGCCGCACGTGTTACACAGTAAGGAAAAGTTAAACCAAAGGACATTTCACCTGAGCAATTAGATTGTGGTACCTTTTGTTCAAAAATAAACTTTTTTAATCTTAGAATACTTGTTGTATTAAAATTAAAGAAACGAATTTACAAGAAACATTCACAAAAGTGGCAACGATTTTTTACCTGTTCAGCCATCAGCTTAACAGTTTTTGTGAAAATAGCATTTAAAATAAAGCCGACTTTGATATTAAAAAACGATAACAACGGTATTACTTTAAAAAAATCTTGCCAATTTGAGAATTTCATGCTACATTTCAGGTTTAATGTTGTCTTCAGATAACTGTTCGTTTGATTGTAACAAATTTTTTCAATGATTGACTAAAAAACAATAAAAATTACAAAATTCAAGATTAGAATATGGCGAATTGAAATTTAAAGACAGGCTCGAAGCCGCATTATAACCAAGTTTGTCCAGTCGATTCTTTAGCTGAGGCAAGACTGTCGTACTGTCTGATGACCAGTTTTCTATTTCAATTACCGCGTCTAATCTTTATTAGTACTTTAGACTTAAATAAGATAATTCTTCTAAAAGAAGCTAGGCTAATGTTTTAGTAGCTTTGCTTTAGTGATCAGAAATTACTACTCTGATAAAAAGAGCGATAAATTTGCTGTTGTTTTTAACCTTTGAATAAAATCTTAAAATTAGCTAAATTATTTCAAGTGAACGTTTGTGCAGTATGATCGTTTGTTATAGAATTTTTGGTTAAATGTCTGTGGCGTTAGACTGTTTTCTTGTCACACAACGATGTTCAAATAACAAACTTTTTGTCAACCAATACAGAATCGACATTTTAAAATTTTTATTGTTAGCAAAGAGGCTGCCTTAGCTGCTACTGCTGACTATCCTGAATATTTTGTAAGCTGAAAAGAAGTCATCTAAAAAGTCAAAAAGTTAACAAAGTACTCACAGTCAAACATTGCATCCAACGTTTTTTGCCGATTGCTTGAAAAAATTACATTCTGACATCTAAATTACTTTATTTTGCAGGTTTAAACCGTTTTTTCCTTACTTTGGGTATACATTTTCTTGCTGAAACTTTATCGATTAATCTTCTGCATTATGGACTCAATATCATCACCAAAGTAAAACGTTTAAAAATTTTTTGAAATTGAGAAACATAGACAATAATTATAACACTTTAACATCAACAACAAGTAACTGAAAATATAAGATACAGTTTACCTTTAAAAACCTTTTAGCGAAACTTATCTACTGGTAAGTGAGAAAAATGTAGCTGATGATCAGGCAGTTTTATTAAAAAAGAAACATCGTAATTCTCATGGTATGGGATGGATTGTTACCTGTCTCTTTATTGTCGGTGAGACGGCTGGAGGTGGCCTAATTGCTATGCCAACAGCTATGGTTTCTACAGGTTTTATTTAATCTTGTCAAGTGAAGTTCTACGGGTGACAAGCGCAAAAAAGAGTGAAGCAAATTAACAGGTCTTACCGGAGGTATAGCAGTGGTGATACTTGGTGCAATTATTTGTACTTATACCAGCCTACAGCTTTCTGAAAACTGGACCATTCTTCAACAAAGATGGACAGTCTATCGAACTCATTGTCGAAAACCATATCCAGTGATGGGATATCGAGCAATTGGACCAAAATTTATGTATGATTAATTGTTTTTGATGTGATGTTAGTTAACAAGAAAAAAAAAATTTTTTTTGCATCTACAATACATTATACAACAAAAAATTTCAGGCATTTTGTTTCATTTTGTCTAAATGTAACCATGTTTGGTGCAGCGGCAGTTTTTTTGCTGCTTGCAGCAAAAAATTTTGAGGATTTTCTTCATGTTTACGGCGATATTCGGATTAATTTCTGTTATTTGGTGATCGTTGTTGCAGTTGTTATGTTTCCACTCACGCTATTCAGAAGTCCTAAAGATTTTTGGTACTTTCTAAGTTTTTTACTTTATAGCTATGCAGTGTTCAAATTAGCAAGCAATAATTACAGTTAGGCTATAAAAAATTTAGTCTTACAAAACGTTCTTGAGTAGAGAAAAAACAAATTCTTTTTTTTTGCTACTAATTAAAATTTTAAATATATCTGCTCTTGTTGAAAGATCCGGACCAGACTCTCAACTATTACTACTAGTGCACTAAGCGATCGTTAGGTTGACAAAACGGCACTTTTTACTCAGCTTATAAAAATGTTTCAAGAGAGCATTGTGATCCCTGCATAAAAAACTCCTTTTTTCTGCTGCAAAAAAAATTCCTTTTCACTCCTACAACAATTGACAGTTTTGAAAGTATGCTTTAAACCTATTGTTTTTTAATGTTTTTTGAAGGTGGGCAGTAATTGCTGCAATGGTTACCACAACGACTGCGGTTGTTTTGATTATTATTGGCGCATCAATAGATCTTAAAACCTGTATTCCTCACAATAACTATCCATCTCCACAACCATCTCGGTATGTAACGAAATGCTATAAGTAATTTCACGAAAAGTAGAGTTACCTAAGTGTCGAGAAAAAGAACGTTTATACAAGAAATCAGATGTCCACAGGTTTTTCATGTCTCTTGGTACAGTTATGTTTGCGTATGGTGGTCACGGAACATTTCCAACAATTCAACATGACATGACAAAACCTTATCATTTTTGTCGATCCGCTATTATTGGTTTTGTAAGTAAGTTACTGCTTTATTAAGACACTACTAATAGCAGTTACTAATAACCAAAAGTAAAATTAAGAATCATTTATGATCACATTTTATGAAAATAACTTCTTTAATTTTCTTTATTGATATAACAGTAAAACTTATATAATATGATGATTTAGAAAAAGACAATAAAATAGGTCAATCAGTTTGTGAAGATGACAAAAGAGATCAAAGTAGAGCTACAATTCAAAATTTCTTCTAAAATACTCTCTCAATTAGAGCAGTGCTAAATTTTTAAAAATTAGAAGGTTGAAAAGTTGTTGTTGACAAAACTGTAGCCAAACAAAAACTTGTACTCCGGTAAAATTAATAAAATTTCCAGTAATATGTTCACTGTATTTACCAGTGTCTATACTTGGATATTACTCCTACGGTGACAGTCTTCGTGATTCAGTCATTCCGTCATTACAGGTTTTTTTACTTTAATTTAGGCAGATGAAGAGTAAAAAGTGTTGTTTGCCTAGTATAAGTTACGAAAATAAATAATATTTGTTAAGCGCTCAGTAATGAGAGTAGTTTAGAACGTGTGGATTCAGCAAGCTGTAAATGTGCTCATCACGCTGCATGTGTTTCTCGCTCTAACTATACTTTTCAACCCGATGAATCAGGAGCTAGAGGAAGCCCTTAACATTCCACATGGTTAGCATATAGTTACTGTTCATCAAGTTAGGTTTACTTATTAGATGTTAAGGTTCAGAGTATAATTTACATCTTTGAGACATTGTTTGCTGCTTTCTCGACAAGTTCAAAAAAAAAAAAAAAAAAAAAAAAAAAAAAAAA